ATTGCCAAGATGATATCGGCGTTCGAAGATCTCTCAAAGATAGTCTGTTGTGCAGTAGTGTGAGACGTGTATAAATCCGGGAGGACGGAGATAGATTCCGGTGATGAATAGCGAGCGGTGCTGCAGAGTGATGCGCACAGCCACTTGCTCCAGACGGTCGCAATTCTCAAGCGAAACTGATGTGCATGAATGCTTGGATTTTATCGCAATAAGTACACCGCCGCCTCTGGAAAGCTGACTGGTAGCTCGATTACGGTCGCAGCGGAAGAAATGATAATCTGACGATAGCCCACAGTCCTGAATGTACGCTCGAAGCCAGGTTTCGGTGAGAACCAGAACGTCGTAGTCGCATGTTGAAAGCATTAAGCGGAGGACGGTTGTCTTCGTTCGTAAACGTCTTACGTTTTGGTAGTAAATGGTGAAGATAGGATCAATTTGACTGCGAGGGTATGTGCATGCGCTGTTGCTGACATCGCTGGATAATGAGCTGCAAACCACGAAACTATCAAGAGGCGGATTAAACGTCGAATCGAAGTACTTGCCTGGCAACGCCGACTGGAAGACCCCCTTACCATTTCCGACCGCAGGGCCGAGACGACTTTGATGGCAGGATACACCGGAGAGTGAAAGTGTGGAGGTTGGCATTGCAGGCTCGACTGGGTCAGAGAGCTCGGGGCTTCCAAGATGCTTTGTGGTGTGCGTCTCGGTGAGGTGAATTCCAAGATTGTGGAATCAGTAGAGCGTAGGGCAGCAAAGACGTTGGCATCGGTATGGCTAAAACACAGTGAACCATCAGGCACGGTAGGGTTCTTAACATATTGGTACTTGCCTGGAGTGGCGAGTTGGAAGATCCCATCAACGATGTCAAAAGCAGGTCCGGGACGGCTAGGACAGGAACTGTAACTGCAAATCACGACTGCTTTGACTGGTTCCGGGACTTCCATGAGGCTTTTTCCAGTGCGTCCCGAAGATTGCCGGTTAGTACTCGTCAGGTTGTGAGGACGTTGATTAAGCTTCCAAATTTGGCTTCCGAAAAGTTGAGGAGCCATAGTCTTCAAATTCCCTGAACAGGATACCTTCTGGTCATGTTGAGGGATCCAATGCCACGTTCTTCAACTCTGGGTCGAGGCCGATTTTGAACGAGATAAATGACAAACCCGAAATGTCCTTACCCTTTGGTACGAGTTTCACCACATCAGGCTCCGTGATGATTTCCAGACATTCCTTGGCCATCGCTGAGATTACATCGTTGGTTGTGTCGGGACGGATGCGTGACAAATAAAGTCAGAATTAGTCGTTGTCAGCCGAAGGGTTTTGATTCGTGACCGTGACAAAGTTCATGGTAGTTTCCTTGGAACCGTATTGAGCTGGTGTGATAGGCGTGTGACGTACTCTTGGAACTTGGAGGGGCTGGAGTGATTATTGGATAACGGGGAAAAGGTTGAATAAGCACCTTTCAAGTCCCGCACACAACTAAACAGCAGGATAACAGCTGTATATAAGCGTTAATGGATATGCAATAAGAGCTTGTCCCAACCGTCCCAACAGCCATACGTAGCTGACTAAGTTTGCCAGATTTGCTGGTATAGAGGTTAAATAAAGGTTTCCTCATATCGTATAACATTTGAATACAGCTTGAAGCTGTATAAATGAAATGAGTAAAGCGTTTACTTTGCGAAAATTGTTAGTTGGGTTTCCAGTTCCTACACGTCACCCTGATTCCAAAAAATACCCATATTGTGGGCTATTTGACATTATTTTTTCTATATCCGGATACCACCATCTTGGATTTCAAAATAGCCATATTGGGTTGTATATTTGCTAATTTTCCTATGCCTTTGCTCAAGAGCAGCGCTACTGTGTCTATCGCTTGGATTCAGGCAAAGTTGTCAGTCTTCTTGATATGTTGTCTTCGATGATAGCCAGCTGTTCGATTATTGCCGGCTCGGAATCAACCATAATTTGCAGTGCGTGTATTTCATTTAATGAAAAATCTGGAATTGCAGGATTGCTCAGTCGTAAAAATATAATCAGATTGAAGCTGAATTACGTAGTTTATCAGGGTATATGTACTGCCACTAATCGCATAACAGTCCAAAGTAGATGGGAAATCCATAGGACATGAGACTACGATTCGTGGCAGTGTAGGTGTAGTCAGTAGACTATGGTTTACATCACGTATCAAAAAATTTACTCAGAATTTTACAGGAGCATAGGGGAAGTCATCCAATCCCCCGATAGCCCCGACTTGGTCTGACCACATGTTGCGGACTGGGTGTATTGCAACAGTAAAAGGATAACGGGTGCTTTTTATCCAGAAGACATCTACCCGTCCAATTGTCCCCAGCTCCGTCCGAATGAGAAATATCGGACAATTATTATGAAGGAGATGCTAAACGTAAAGGGTAAACTGCAGTGCTATAATCGCAGGAAGTCATATTTAGTCGAGGACTAACTAGCTATTGGTTTTTCGGGAAACCAAACACCACTTAAAAGTGAACAAAATCTGAGTCAACTGAAAACACGGTGCATTAGAATCATCTAAACGGTGGACGACGAATGTGTTAGCTGATTGATACGCCGGAGTCCAAGAAAAGCTCAAAGATGTTTTTGAAGTTGTGATGATTAGATTGTTATTTTCGATTTAAAAAATACCCACAAAAGTTGCTATGAATAGAAACAGATCATTCAGTTGTTAGTCTAAGCCCAAATTGCACCCAATTGGCATCGTTTCATATGTAAATGATTTTACCCCAGCAGACCTGGGTTCAATACCAGTCGGCGCCGCCGGGAAGTTCTGAGGAATAACATCTCTGATCACGCCTTCATTCGGAAGGGAAGTAAAGCCGTTGGTCCCCGGTTCATGAGTTCATGGGTCGATAGGTAGGGTCCAGGTGTGGGAGCTGCCTCCCTGGCGTCGGTAGCATTGGTGCTCAGCACGGAAAACAAGATCGACGGAAAACAAATCATGGAAAAAATATGTAAATGATTTATGCAGAGAAATGCCACTCGCCATATGATCTGGCTAAATGTCTGCACCTTTACCAACCGAGACGCGGATGGAATCAAAATTAAACCTACAATCGTTGCACCCCCAGGCCACGTTAAGAAACACAAGCAGCAGAAACAGCTCGTTATGAATATGCTCCAATAATCCCACTCTACTTGCAACCACCACAAACTATCTTCCGTAGCCGTTAAATGAGGGTGGCCAGCTCGTTCAACCAAAACGTACGTTCAGAAAATAGTGAAACAAGTTTCCCCAAACCAACCTGTGCGCTTTAATTGCACCCTACAGCCAGTTAAAATGCATGAGAAACTTTTTAATTGTCCCGCAAGAAACGACGGTGCAAATGAATCCACCACCACGCTGTGAACTGTTCTTTTTACACTGTGTCGGAAGTTGAAATCGTAGTGATGGCGACATTTCCCTGTACCTAGTTTGACTTCATCCGCTTGGATCAACGCAGCGTAGCTTTGAAATTACAATCCACCTTCAACTGGTGGCCAGAAGAGAGAAGCACCACCAGACCATCATCAAAGGAATGCTAATTTTGACTTGACAAGATGTCGTCGTCTGATGTTTCCCACCCGGGAAGCCATTCGACTTTGTTCTTTTTTTTTTTTTTTTTTGGATAGAAGTAAGATTGGACCCGCCTGATGCTAATAACTGATATCAGCTTGGTCCAGTTTAGTTTCAAATTAAGTTTGCGAAAGTTTTCACCAAGCCGACTTAATTGGCATCCCGAGCTGAGGTTGGATGATTCTAAAGTGAACGACTTGATGACTTTGGGGACCCCGGGTTGGTGGACTATTACGTTCGTTACTTCCAAAGCAGTCACAGATGGAGTGACAACATTTCCCTTGGCTGGTGTCAAGCTTTCATCATAAAGCAACACCCGGGGGTCCTCAGGAGAGGTTGACGCAATTTGTGGCGAGTTCCACTTGCTCAGTGAATGTTGTTGCTCATCACATTTTTCATGGTCTTCGTAGGGGTTCACAATCTTTTTTTATAATAAAAATAAAGCAAACAGACCTATCAAGATCAAACTACTATGATAGCATCTCAGTAATGTCATCAAATGAGTTTCATGATTAGACACGAATTTGTCATATAAGGTTATTTATAACTTTTACTTACATTTGAAGTTTTACCGTTGATCATCAATGTTGAACCATGCAACGGGTTTTGGTTACTTGGGTTCGTAAAAGCTATGACGGGAAAAAAGGAATGCTACTTCACAAGACCGGTCAGATCCCCCAGTGCGTTAGATCTGCAACATGGCCACCTACTCTGCTGATGTCGAAAAGCAAGAGAAATGCATTCTGAGTTGAGCGGCTTAGTTGCAGACGATGATGACGCACGGATGGACAAATAGTCATGAGTCCCAGAAAGGAATGTGATTTATTTCAAACTCGCAAAACTCATATGCAAACAGCTCTTTTAAGGGAATATTCGCTACGTAGCATGAACGAGTGACACAGTCAGGAAAGATAGTCTCACTTTTGTATGCTTCGTGCTCATACAGACGCAGTGAACTGGATTTGGATGAATTTATGGCATATTTACATTGGAACTGGAGAGAAACACACCAGCTCATTCGTCCTGGTTGGCACCGAGTGGGGATTTCTCCCACCCCACGGATCACATGTTACCTACTTGCGATGAATGATGATTGCGATTGCAACGTCTGAAAACTAAAACCAGACAATTATAATGACGGCACGGCCCTGCTGGCTTTCCCTTGCATGATGTAGTGATGATAGTTGCTGCATCTGCTCGAGGCAGGCTTCTACCGAACTGCAATTGGATCGTGGAGCTATTTTCCGGTCAGATGCAAACAGTACACAATTTGTAATGGAAACAGTTTTTTTTTTTTATGATGAAGTCGAACTGTATGGTATGGTGGTACGATTCTAGATATTAATGTATCATTTTTATCATATGCATATGTTTGGGTGAAATTAATTGACGCATTTATTTTGCATCTTGTTTTCAGAATTGACTTTGACGATCCGTCGACTACCAAGCCACAGAGCTTGGCCAAGTCGGCTGTTCTGCAGGCCCTTGAGGACGAGGAGCGTGAGCAGAGCCGGGTGGGCAAAGGTAAGTCACCATAGATACCAGTTTCGAAATCTCGTGTAATTCGAAACATGTCGCTAATCAAGAGTCTCTCAATTCAGTCGTGAAACCGAATACCATGCTGTCAATTAAACGGACACTTACTGGAATGCTCATTATGTATGTACAACATCAAACAAACACGCTCATCTCAAGCGAATGGTGAACACATGGAAGCGCTATAAATACCATTCGTCGTAATATTGGTGATGTGGTTGATTTTGAAGGAACAATAAGAGGGTCTTCAAATGCAGAAACTCTCTTGTGCAGTCAATCATCGTGTCCGGAATGGCAATTCAATCGCTTAAGACGCTATGGTAATCTCTTGAAGGCGTTTTCTTATCACACATGACCCTCATTGTAGGGAACCGATGGCTGCAACGAATGAAATTATTAATTGAATGTTAAATCCCGAATTAATCCACCTTTGGTGAGATCTGAACAATAGAAATTCCGAAAAAAGTGCTCCAGGCAAAAGTGAGGTGATAAATGAATTCTCGTGTGATTTGAGGTATCGCATGGTGGATTTTAACCCTAGTCAGAAACTGGACACTTTCCAAGAGTACCGGAAAATGGCCACTGTGATTCTGGACACATCAAATTATTACCATAGAACTGTTTTTTTTTTTACGTACGACTACGTCTGTAATTTCTACATAGGGGTACACTTTGTGAAAACCAAAATTGGAACATGTAGCAAAATTATGAAAGATTTTCAACATTAATAACTCAACTGCCTCTGGACCAAATTCATCAAATTTATCACCAATCGATCAGAAATATGTCTACGCATCTGTTAAATTTCAGATTTTATCATTTTTCAAAATGTTACTATTGAAAATTGCACGAATGTGAAATTGTTGCTATGATAATTGAAATTATCGCCCATTGCCTGCGAAAAGCGATTTCCCTAACACAGAGTTGAATTCCATCGGGTCTCACCAAACGGCGTTTATTCAATCCCTGCGTGGTGAGTGGTGGCGTTCTCCAGTACACAACGAAAGGCTCCCCGCAAGCAGCTAGCTATCAAGGCTGACCTCAACCGCTGATCGGATGCAGTTCCAATCACCGTGTGTGGTGGTGTCTGGTCGTCGGCATAAGCTGCAGCAGCAGCAGTGCTTTTGGCGCGTTGTACACAACGAAAGGCTGCCTGCAAGCAGTGAGCTGCAGCCCACATGACCATCCATAGAAGGAGGAAGAATCCGCAGCGCTATTGATCGGAATCAGTAGCTCTTCGTGAGTCACTGTGGGCCATCCTTGTCAAGCGCGTCATACTAAAGAGTATAAACAGAGAGGACCCCGCTCAAATTCCTATTCATACACAAAACACAAGTTCCTGCTGCAGTTAATAAATAAGATTTATTTTATAAGACCACGTAGTCCTACGTCACCATGGCGTACAACCCCATAGGGCTGTCCATTGTAGTTTTTTATTCTCATGTCTGTTGATGCGTCACATTATGAGTTTTATTCGTTTCAGGTCAGATTTAGTCACATGACCTATACAAACCGTAACATGTTCTAGCCATATCTCCGGAACCAGTAGACCGATTCCAGAAACATTCAAAAACGTTCTATGTCCGCAAATAACCATAACGCTGAATTGGGTGCGCTTGACCTATCGAAGGCCTACAACCGGGCATGGATACCAGGTGTTTTGAACCAGTTGATACCTTGGGTCTAAAAGGACACGTGTTGAAGTTCATCCAGAACTTCCTCTCGCACCGAACTTTCCGGGTTGTCCTGGGAAACTGCCGATCCAAGATTTTCGACGAGGAGACTGGCGTACCGCAAGGGTCGGTGATAGCGGTCACCCTCTTTCTCGTTAGGATGAATGGGGTATTCACGAGGTTGCCGGTCGGAATCTTCATTTTTGTGTATGCAGACGACATCGTCCTTATGGCAATTAAGGAAACTGTCAAAGCGCTTCGAAGAAAAATTATTCAAGCCACGGCCTACATCTCGAATGGGGCATCAAACGCGGGATTCCAGATGTCCGCAGCAAAAAACGGGTACACCCATATTTGTCCGTCGAATCACCGGATCCTCAGCACGAAGATCAGCATCCAGGACGAGGTAATTCCGTTCAGAAAAACCCTTCGGATACTTGGTGTGCATTTCGACCGCTCTCTAACATTCAACACGCACCTGAACGAGGTAAAGAGTGCCTGCAAACAGCGCCTAAACATCCTGAGGACACTAGCAGGCTGACATCCTAACGCCAACTGGACCTCACGCTTCAATGTTGCGAAGGCTATAGTAAACTCGCGGCTGACCTATGGCATCGAGGCTACGCCAAACCAAACCGCACCTGGTGGAAAGGCTTACACCAGTCTACCAGCAAGCACTTCGGATTTCTTCCGGACTCCTTCCTGGTACTCCCGCTGCCTGCATTGAGGGAGGAGTACTCCCCTTCGACCGCTTGATTACCGGGACTATATGCAAACGCGCCATCGGGCTGAATGAGATAACGTCAGGTACAGACGAGGAAGGTTCCCTCCTAAAGGAGGCCAACAAGTTCCTCAGGGAAATCTCCAACCGAGCTCTCCCCCCAGTGTGCAAGACACATTGGGTTGGAGCCAAAGGCTGGAGCAAACAGCCAATCAATACCGACCACAATATCAAACGACGCTTCAAGGCTGGTTCCAATCCCTCTGCGGTAAATCAGGCGGTATTGGATTTGCAGAGAAGGAAGTACGCTGGATACGCCATCCGTTACTCGGACGGTTTCGTAGCCCAGAAAAGGGTGGGCATCGGCATCTCCGGTGACCACCTAAAGGAGTGTCACAGGCTCCCGGATGAGTGCTCTATTTTTTCCGCCGAGGCAGCCGCAGCTTTTATCACAGTTACTACCCCGGATACACGGTCAATCGCACTTTTCACAGACTCTGCTAGTGTAGTCACTGCACTTGAATCCGCAACCAGCAGGCACCCCTGGATACAGGCCATCCAAGAGTACGCGCCACCCAACACGGTATTCATTTGGTTGCCTGGAAATTGCGGTGTAAAAGGGAATGAGGAAGCTGATCAACTCGCCGAATCAGGCCGTAGTATGACCAAATATACCCGGAAGATCCCCGGGCAGGATCTGAAGAAGTGGGTCACCAAGACCGTAGACCAATCCTGGAGCCGGGACTGGCTCGCCGGAAGTATACTGTTTATACGGAAGATAAAAGGGGACACCAGCAGATGGGAGGATCCACTCCTCCACCGTGAGCAGGTCGTTTTATCGCGACTCCGATAAGGATCAAAACAATGTATTTTTAAGAAATTCTGAGAACCACTATGTCGATTTTCTATGGAATGGCTGTATATTGTTACACACGCCAGACATCTTCTGATCTAGTCGAGCAATTGGTATATGAAAAGGTAAAAAGCTTGGCACGTGATTGATCAAAACTAAGACTGTTGAATGAATAATGAAAACTGCGCAGTGCATTTAACTACAATTTTTTGTTAAAGGGCAATCAAATCCAATCATATATATATCTATTTGCGAATAAGTTTGTATTGGCCAATCAAAGCATGGACCATTAGTAGAAAATGAATTAAGGATCATTGGTTCACAACATTGAAAATTCTAACTCACCCTTCATGTCAGAAATATTTCAAATACCTAGCCGGTGTCTTTCAGAATGCTGACCGGATCCAGCAAAATCCACACGAAGAACTTGACTTGGGATTGACAGTTCATCCTCAGTGAGCAAACTCCGATAAATCATTACTTTCAAAAACAATAACGGCACCAGCCACGTCCCATAAAATCAGAAGTCGCATAACAATGTACAGAGAGTATCGTTCATTTGCTACAGTTTATGTCAACGCTGCATTGATTTCATTGGACACATAACGTTCATGTGATTTAGTGGTGCAATTTCCAATTATGGGATCATATGAAAGTTATGGGAAATTCACATGGATATTTTCCACTTTATGTGATTTATTTTATGAGTGTACATGTGAGCTTCATCTACCTTTAAGCTAGATCTAGTATGGGCTATATCTCGATAGCCTGACCATGTAGAAAGCTGCCGTCTTCGGCAAAGTTTTTCAGGTTAGTAAGGTTTCGCTGATTATATACATAGTATCCCCGTGTCGTGAGAAAATTGTGATCTGATCCTGTCTTCCATTCGAAAGGATTTGATCACCTGAACCGTTTCCCAAAGACAGCAATTTCTTATATTATCAGGATTTCAGCGTATAGCTAACACATGAAACCCACATGTACACTTGTGTTGCGTAGTGAGAAAATTTTAACTAATTTGCCCAACATGTGGAAGACCTTGGGCAGCTGAATACCTATCTCGAAGACGGAAACTTCATAGATGATTACGATCTCATGATTTAGCTTATATAGGTAATTCACTAGCATATTTGCGCCACGTAATGAGAAAATTCTGAACAACTTTGCCGAAGATAGTAACCTTCTATATAGTCACCCTAATAATATGTGCATGGTTAATTTGCTGAGTGACGTGTTCAGAGTATCATCCAAACCATTTGTGGAATAGTTCTATCATTTGTGTTATTGTTTGGGTATGGTATTTTTATTAGGTCAGGATCACGAGATATTGCATGTGGCCGTCTTACCTGCATGAATTTATTCTCAATTTATTTAGTCTTTTTTGCTTCATGACAAAACACCATCAAATGAATAGGAAATTTTCTCAAAATTAGTGTAATTATAGAAAATACTCTAATGATCAATATTGACTTAATTCATGGCAGCAATGTTGCATAGATTGGGTTAAATTGTACATTAAGTTTACCTCATCCTCCCCTAATTATTTTTTCGTTCACATCAATTTCATTTTTCGTTTGACTTTTCAGATTATTTACTTTTCTTGCAGTTTTAAAAAAGGCACTCAAAAGATTTCAGTAATTTGATTGCAAATTGTGAGTACTAGCAGCTCATTAAACTTAATTTCAAAGAGAAAAAAAAATCGTGAAGTTGTATACTTTTGCCCGGTTCCGTTCAATCCCTG